CCTACCTCTGCCTCCTGAGTGCTGGGACTAAAGGCATGTGCCACCATGCCCTGCTAAAAATAAGTCTTAAGATGGGCATGGTGGCGCACACCTTTAATCCTAGCACTTGGGAGGCAGAGGCTAGACTGGTCTACATAGTGAGTTCCAGGACAGCTGGGGCTACAGGGAGACCCTGTCCCAAAAAGACATAAAAAAGCAAACACAGCCAGGCGTGGTGGCACACGCCTTTAATCCCAGCACTTAGGAGGCAGAGGCAGGCGGATCTTTGTGTGGCCAGCCTGATCTACATAGTGAGTTCCAGGACAGCTGGGGCTACAAGGAGACCCTGTCTCAAAAAAAAAAAAAGCAAACACAAACAACCCAGCAACTATCTAAGCTAACAAGGTTGTTGTGATTCCAAAAATCTATTCCTGAATCCTCCCATCTGTATGTAGAAACTGATAGAGGTAAGTGCTCAAACACATGTGTATGACAGAATAAACTAAGACAGATTTCTAAATGTAACCAAATGTCGACTGTCAGAAAATAGCACCTGTGCCAGAAGTCATAACCAAATGTCACATAGCACTGAAGATGAAATATCAGATCTTTACCTTTGCAGTAATCTGCCCCAGCCGGCCTTTCCAGCTCTCTCTTCCCTTCCTGTTGCACTGTTCATAGACCCTAAACACATCACCTGGTTTCACGCTCCAGTACCTTCACATAAGTCATTCTCTATCCCCAGAGACTGTTCTTCCTTCTCAGAATTTGGGTGACTCTTCCTTGTCCTTTAAAGCCCAGGTAAAACAATGCTTCTTTTAGGAAGCCTAATCTGACCTCTGTTGCCTACCTGGGCTGATGCCTCTCTGTGCTCCAGCAGACTTCATAGTTTTTGGGTTTTGTTTTGTTTTGTTGGTTTATTTTGCAAGCCAAGCATAAACTTGTTCACTGACCTACACCCCAATTCCCAACTATGCTTTCTGTTTTGTTTTGTTTTTGAGACAGGGTTGGGTTTTTTTTTCTTTTTTTTTTGTTTTTGTTTTTGTTTTTGGTCTTTTTGAGACAGGGTCTCCCTGTAGCTCCAGCTGTCCTGGAACTCACTCTGTAGACCAGGCTGGCCTCAAACTCACAGAGGATCCACCTGCCTTTGCCTCCCGGGTGCTGGGATTAAAGGCGTGCGCCACCACGCCCGGCTTGAGACAGAGTTTTGTCAAACTCCTCAGCTTTGTCTCTGACTTTTGGGCCCAGTGATCTTCCTGCATCAGTCTCCCCAGTAGCTGAGACTACATGTATGAAGCACTGCACTGGCCCAACCACACCTCTTTGATTGTATGCTGATCACATTCATTTTCTGTTCTGTTTTTTCCTCCCATTGGACCGCCACCACGCCCGGCTTGAGACAGAGTTTTGTCAAACTCCTCAGCTTTGTCTCTGACTTTTGGGCCCAGTGATCTTCCTGCATCAGTCTCCCCAGTAGCTGAGACTACATGTATGAAGCACTGCACTGGCCCAACCACACCTCTTTGATTGTATGCTGATCACATTCATTTTCTGTTCTGTTTTTTCCTCCCATTGGACTGCAGGGTAAGGATTAGATCTTATTTATCTCTATGTCCTCAGCATTCAAATATGCAACATGACACAAAGCAAAGGTATTCACCAGGCAGGTGACTCAGAAGAAAGAACGTAGCATGAAAGAGTTATTAGTTAGGGAGTTGTCAGAATAGAATTTCTACTTTAGGAAAGACTTTGCAAAGCTTCAACTAATATTCATTGAAGAATAATTTATTTACAAGCATGTGACTTGTGGTTTGAATGAAAATGTCCCCCATAGGCGCCAAGTACTTGAACACTTGGTCAGTTGATGGCTCTGTTTGCGGGAGGTTATAGAACCTTCAAGAGATGTGGCCTTGCTGGAGGAAACACATCACTGCGGCTGGGCTTAGAGAGTTCTTAAGCCTTGCTGGATTCCCAGTCACTCTCTGCTTCTTGTGCCATCTTGAAGATGTGCGTGCTTAGCCTCTGCTCCTACTCCAGCCACTTCTGCCACCATACCTCTCCTTTGGAACCATAAGCTCAAATAGACTCTTCCTTCTATCAATTACTTTGGTCAGTGTTTCTATCACAGCAATAGAAAAGTAACTAATAACAATTTACTAAACTGTTCTTATTTTTCTCTCTTCAACACACAGGTGCATGCATACTTTTAAAGTATCTTCCTTTTTAAAAATACATTCATTTATTCATTTAATGTAT